TAATAAAACACTTCAGTATGGGACACGGGCCTCTCTTCCTCTGGCGAGTGCTGTGCAGACAACAGGCTCCCCTGGGCTGAGGTGCTCCCACAGGGTCCTCTCTCTGCAGCCTCCCTGGCCCCCTTCCGCCCTCAGTGCTTCCAAGAGCCCTTTACCTACACTTTGTAGGACTCCACCAAAGCGGACTTGTCTGCAGACAAGCCACAAAGACGGGGGTTGTTCTCTTAGATCTCTTGCACCCTGCTCTTCTCCTCTGGCGTGTGCATGTTAACGTTACTTGGTGATCTGCAGAAGAGTTTATGGGGCAAACTGTTTTCCATTCAACGATTTAGACACATGCTGATCGGTGACAATGATTTGATTCAGACACATTTTGATCGGTGACAATGATTACTGTCCCGACAATGTAACACCCCTCCCACTTTCTTTCTGGATTTTCCATTTCCATTTGTCCCTTCCTATCCTTTCCCGCCGTCCAAGCTGCATCCCTGGGCAATGCTGCCTTTTTGATCTTGTATGGGCTATGTGCTATAAGGAGTGCATGCCTCCCTGGTGTTACTGTTGACCTTATTGGCCTATCTGTTGTTTGGCCGAATTTTGAGCCAGGGGGCTGAGTTCAGTTCTATGTTTAGGAGGCTCTAGTCTGAGTTTATTTTATATAAGAGTTGAAGGCTTGGCTATATACTTCTCAAATTCAGCCAATGGAAGGAAACCCAGTGGAAAAGCAACAAACGGAATGTAATTAAAATGAATGTTAACATGTTGTGGAAAATGTAACTAATGTTGCTGAAGACTTTGCCTAGAAATGATGAAACAGAGACCCAATTTGCTGCATCAACTGAAAACACAATAAAGTTCATAAAGCGAAACAAAACAGAAAATATTGGATCACAAGAGTCCAATCCCCACTCCATTGCAGGGATGGCAGAAGACCAGGCTACATCCACTGTGCAAGGGCTGCCCATGAGTCGGGGCCCAATTTGACAGCAGCCGAACAGCCTGGTGTTAGGATGCCTGTGTGCACGCAAGCACAATCTCTCACACACGTGTGCGCGCTCTCTCTCATTCACTGCCATCAAGTCAGTGCTGAATCACAGCAACCCTATAGGACAGAGTAGAACAGCACCTGTGGGTTCCAAGACTAACTCTACAGAGTAGAAAGCATCCTCTTTTTCTCGTGGAGAGGCTGCTGAATTCGAGCTGCTGACCTGAGACTAGTAACTCACTATACCACCAGTGCTTTCGGTGTGAAAGCAGCATGTGCCAAAGTAACTTGGCGACAGAGAGCGAGGAGCGGCTCCTCAACAGGCCCAGTGTGGAGTGACCAAGCCGCTGTTGTTTTCCTGCCTCCTGCTGCGAACCGGGCCCTTGAGCACTCGCTTTTTCAGGATGGCAGACATTCAGATAGCCCTGGTGGGAAACCGCTGAAGACGCCCAGCACTGGCAAGTGGGCCCGGAAGAACCTGTAGCTCTTCTTATCTTGGACTAAGCTGGTACTGAATTAGCAGAATCCCAAACTCTCTGAGGCCCGGTGACCCCTCCCCCGAATCCCCTCCAACACAGTGGGCCTGGGGAGCGGAGGAGGCCAGGATGAAGGGGCTTCCAGGCTGTCATGGAAACTTTTCTTTCCCTGAGCCTCTGGAGCATATGGCAGGTGCCCTGTGCAGGCTGCTCTTGCCGCTGCCCGAGGCTGGCTGCTGCCCTCAGCGTGTGCACGGGGCATCTGCCACTCTGTCTGAAAGGCCCGGCAGCACAAAGGAGTCCCCAGTGTGCACCTCCCGTCCTGGCTCCCTAGACAGTTGCTCGTGTGAGCCTGCGGTCCATGAAATATAACTCCTAGGCTCCGAGCAGGCTCGATGCGGCCCACAGATCACAGACAGCAGCAGGCCAAAGGCCATGGCTTCTCCTGGGCTGCCTGAAATGCGATGGCCACTTTATCCTCCACTGATATCTGCCCCCAAGAAGAAAAAAGAGATGGGTATTGTCCTGGGACTTTGAAAACAGCCGAGGCCAGACGGGGCTTTCTGTGCAGAAAACTCAGATGGGGAGGAGGGCAACCCAGAGGGGTCATGAGCGGCAGTGGGCAGGCAGTGCCAAGGCTGGAACGCAAGACCGCAGGAGAAGATGCAAAACTGTGCCCCTGGGGCTTCCTGGCAGGGGACCAAGGAAGCACAGACACAGGAGAAAACAGGCACCATCTTCCTGCAAGGGACCAAGGACTAGGGTTAGTGGAGCCAGGCAAGAGTGAACCATGGAGGAGTAGGTTAAGATTTGCCTGGAGTCTTCTAAACAGCAACCGAGATTCTCACATGTCAAGGGTTATGGTAGCTCTACTCACAATCGCCAAAATGGGGAACCCAAGTGCCTATCAACAGATACAGAAGCCAAAGGAGGCAGACCCACACAACGGACTATTATTCAGCCATAAAGAGAAATGAAGTCCTTGACATGCGCTGTGACAGGGACAGAGCTTGAAACATCACTCACAGAGCATGAAAACAGAAGTAAGACAAACACGAAAGGACAAATGTATGATTCCACTTAAATAAAATCGCTAAAACAGATCTGTGATGACCAGGAGTGGGTGGTTTCTTTTATTTTCATTTCTAATTAATTGTTATTATTTTAAATTTTACTTGTGTTTTATTGTCTCTTCCAGAGCACTGGGCTGTGTGGATCATACAAACTATGGCAGCCTTGAGAAGAAAGGGAATAACCGGAACACTTCACTGTGCTCATGCGGAACCTGGCCCTGGATCAGGAGAGCGTTGTGCGAACAGAACAAGGGGATTCTGCGTGGTGCAAAATCAGGAAAGGTGTGTGGTCAGGGTTGTTTCCTCCTCTCACTGTACCTGTTCAATCTGTATGCTGAGCAAACCATCAGAGAAGTTGGGTTATATGATGAAGAATACGGATCAGGACTGGAGGAAGGCTCATTAATGACATGACCTTGCTGCTGAAAGTTAGGAGGGCCTGAAGCGCTTGCTGATGAAGAGCAAGGCCTGCAGCCTCCAGTCTGGACTACACTTAGAGAAGGCCCAAATCCTCACAACTGGACCAGAGCGTAACACAGGTCAGCATGCACTGGGTCAACTGCACTGGTCAATCTGCACAAGGCCTCTTTAAAGTGTCATAAAGCAAGACGTCAGTCTGAGGATTTAGGCATGGCTGGCCCAAGCCCTGGTATTTTCAATCACCCCATATGCATGTGAAAGTTGGATATTGAATAAGAATACCGAAGGAGGATTGATGCCTTTGCATTAGGGTCCGGTGAAGAATCCTGAAAGTACCGAACGAACAAGCACATCTGTCTTGGAAGAAGTACAGACATAATGCTCCTTGGAGGCAAGGCTGGAGAGACGTCGGCTCAGGCACTCCGGGGCTGCTGTCAGGGAAGGCTGGCTCCTGGAGGAGGCCACACTTGGTAATGTAATAGGGCAGTGAAAAAGAAGAAACCGGAACGGCATGAGCAATGGCTCAGAGGCCAGATTTTTAGAAAAATGAATTTGACACCATTTCTTAAGAAAGCAGATTGTTTTTCTTCATTCAAGGTTTCATTTGTCTTGTTGTGGGGAATACGCCTACACAACACACTCCTACAACAGGACAGCAGCTTCTAGTGTACAGTGCAGCGGCACTGTCGGCCTTCCTCAGGCTGTGCGCTCGTTCTCAGTCTCTCTTTCTTAGTCACTCCCCCTCATTCACGTCAACTCACCGCGCCTAGTAGGCTTCCTCATAGAAACAGATCTTTAAACGTTTGGGTTTAAGAAGACTTTAAGGCAGCGGTTCTCAACCTGTGGGTCGAGACCTTTTTGGGGGTCAGTCGAATGACCCTTTCACAGGGGTCGCCTGAAACCATCAGAAAACACATAAATCTTTGACAATATGTAATTACATATTGTTTTGTGATTTATCACCATGCTTTAATTATGTTTGATTATGTTCAATTTGCAACAATGACAATATATCCTGTGTATCAGATATTTACATTACGATTCATAACAGTAGCAAAATTACAGTTTTGAAGTAGCAACGAAAATAATTTTCTGGTTGGGGGTCACCACCACATGAGGAGCTGTATGAAAGGGTCACAGCATTAGGAAGTTTGAGAACCACTGCTTTAAGGGGTCTATTTGGCTTAAGGTTAAGAGATACCGTGAGGCAAGAGTTTCCAGGGTTCATCCATCAAGATTCAGTTTAGTATTTGGCCCCCTTTTGATCGGGATTCTAAAATGTGCAGTCGTGGTAGTCAGGTAACATCCTGTTCTTCTGGTCTCGTGGCAAAGGAGACCGCTGTTCACGGAGGCAATTAGCCACCCGTTCTGTCTCTTCCTCCTGTTACTGACGCCCTTTCTCCGCTGCTCTAGGCGAAGGGACCAATTATTCCCGGGGGTCACTGTAAGCAGCAGCATAGCATGCCAGATCACTCCAGCAGCAGACGATTAGTGGAATAATCCCTACTGAGCAGGCAGGTGGTCAAAGTGATACTGTGCTTTTCCTGAGTTCTCTTTGGAAGACGTAATCTCCAAGAGCGCTGTGCCCAGGCCTGGTCCTGCTTGGGCTGACACCAAGCAGTTCCATTTCTAAACATTTCCAGGAAAGTGGGTGCTTGGTTCCCCTTTCTCCCCATGCAGGGCCCACGTCCAGTGCCATGGAGTTAACACAGGAGAATGGCAGCATGCAGCCTTGCAGGCCAATCCTGTCTCTGCCATGTTCTTGTTGCGGGATTCCAAGCCAGCTTCTCAACCTCTCTTGCCCTGTGGCTACTGACAACATCTGTATCCTAGCTTCACCGTGTGGCTTAGTTAAGAACGATCCAGATGCTAAAATCCTTAGCATTTAGCCCAGTACATTGCAAATGATTAAAAAAAAGTATGAGTTCACACTCAGCTAAGAACGAAGACCAATGTTCAAAGACCACGGGAATGTAACTGACTCAGGAGAACAGGGCACGCCGAAGAGGAGAGGCAGTAGGGACCAGGGGCTGGGTTTCCACTTACTTGCGAGCAGGAGGCAGGAGACAGCCACGGTGTACAGGTGCTTGGAGGTGGAGATGTTGTAGCGATCCATGAAGTGGTCCAGCAGGTAGACGGCCAGGTGCCGGGCTGCGGGGCACAGCTGGCAGTGGCTGCTCAGCAGGGTCACGATGTCGACAAAGAACCGGCGGCTCTTCAGGAGCGGAGAGTGGGCGCGGAAGGCAGGCAGCTTCAGTTCCTGGACAGGCAAGGCAGATGAAGGGGCGTCAGGGCTGCCACAGGAGGCAACAAACCCTTCTAGACCCCTAGTGGTGCCCCTTCCAGGGCAGGAGGTGAGCCCCCAGTGCAGAAACTCCTGGACCA